CGTGGTTTGGGGGGTTGTAATTGTGGGCGGGGAAAAAAAAAAAAAAAACCGTCCCCAGGGGGGAGGGGAGGTGGCATGAGTGGGTGGCCCTCCGTTGGGCGGGGGTAGGGGAGTCGGGGCTTTGCAGGTGGCGGTTTCGGGGGTGGGTACCGCGGGGCCGGGGGGGGGGTATAGGGTGGTCCCGATGTCGGAGCGAATACCCTTACAAGGGCGCCCTGGTTTTTGCAAGTGACAGAAGATAAGGTTTGTTCAGAATCTGAGTATACCGTGCGAAGTTGCGGTTGTGTCTGGTTCGCATTGACTGAATGATTGACGGGGGCAAAGTGTGGGTGGGCACGCAGTTTTGAGGCGCGCGTGATGATTTTGTCTCTTGATGCTATAGAGTCGGCATGTCCGCTGACAACATTTTGGCTTTGATTAAAGCTAGGAAAAGTTTTAATGGACCAGGGTGCACCTGCGTTCATACGGCATGTGCCGTCAGAAGTAGGGTTGTTAGGTAGCGGCTCACTTGTGCTGCATGTGTGGCGGTAGCCAAAGGGAAATTTTTACCCCTTCATACAGTAAGGGCCGGTGCGTAGGAGCCGCAGATGCAGGCAGTGGCCTCCGTGCGGCACTATGGGGGCTACAAGCGTGACATGACGAGCAAGGTCCGGTCCCTGACGGCACGTGCGCACGTACGGGGCCTTGGGATTGGAGGGAAAGTCAAGCAGCAGCCTTAACGCTGCTGCCGCAGGCCCAGGCTGGCCACGGTTACTATTCACATACGAGGTCGCGCACACCTAACCCAAGTTGGGACTTATCCCTATAGGTTATAGAATTGGACTTTCAGTAGGTGGATCTTGGGATTGAGGCTAGGAACCAACCGTGGAGGAGGGGTGGGGTACAATATGAAAAGCACTGGGGGGTTGAGGGTGCTGGACTATCCCTTTTAGTTTTGTTGGGGAGTCCGACAGCGGGCCCGGTAGGTAGGACCGAGGACCGAGTGCCAATGGTCCTCCCCCTCAGCCGTTTTTTTTAATCTTTAATCCTTTACTTCTATTTCTTATTACTACTTATTATTATTATTATTATTTTCTTATTTTTTTATTTTTTATTTTTGATGCGGCCGCTGCCTGTACCGGGGGCAACAGAGAGTACAGAAGAGCCTTGTTCAGTGGATACACCACTGGACTTCTGGAAGGCAGATCTGTGTCCGAACCCGGAGGAGGCAGTTGCCCCGACGACCCTGGGTCTCCGCCCAGGAAGTGGTCCTTCGGGACATCCGGTTGGGACGATACGGAGGAGATTAGCATGGCCACTGTGCAAGGGCGGCATGTATAAAGTCAGACAGCAGCCCGGCACCTTGGCTGCTGTGACATGCGATGAACTACCTGCTGCTGAGCGTCATCTCGGCCGAGCCCGTCGCTGTGCGCTGCGTTGTAGAGGTAGTGGAAGAGGGGGAGAAGTCGTAGCAAGGCTTCCACAGGTGAAACTGTGGAAGGATCATGAATGGTCCGATGGAGAGTCTGGATTGCGGTGATCTTGGCGGCTTGCCACTGGGGCGCTGTGAGAAGTTCATTGTACCTTATCACTTATAGGAAGGAGTGAGTCGGGAAGCAGGATGCAGCAGTGAGAAAATGAGTGAAGAAAATGGACTGAATCTAGACTGGAAAGTGCGCCAGCGTGCAGTGATGGTGAAGAAGCGGGCGCAGCAAGGAGGGGGTGGCTCTCGTGATGCTTTGTGGTTCTAGGAGGGCGAAGGACCTGCCTAAGGGTACTTGGGGAAGGCGAATCCACTGGTAGTGTTGGTTCTAGCTCTAGATTAGTAGGAAGAGAGATTAGTGGAGAAGAAAGGCATGGCGCGGAGCTATGGAGAAAACGGGTATGGTAGGAGGGAAAGAGCATAACTCGCTCGATCCTTGGCGGAATCGAGCAGTGAAGATGGGATTCTGGGGTTCTTGGGTCGGGCGAACGTAGTGGTAACATTAGTTTTGGCTATAGGTTGGTGGATTAGAAGCTGGTAAGAAAATGAACTGCGCGGGGTTACAAAAATAAAAAAGGGGTAGATATGGCGGGGCAGGTAAGAGAAGATTTCGCTCGATTCACGGTGAAAACGGGTGGGGCGGAGGTTTACACAGGGGTTTGGTGTAGGGCGAGTTCGTTGGTGAAGGCGGATTCGAAGGTGGGTGGCAGACTTGGTGTCACGGTGTGTAGGGGCTGCGCACAAAGAAAAGTGGTGCAAAGATGAATCCTTCCGTTTTTTTGCGGAAGATTCATTTTGGATGCTTCCTTATTGTTTTCCTTTTTTTTATTTTTTAGTTTTGCACGTTTCTTTTTTTCTTTTATGGGCACAGAAGAAGGGTTGCCCGTCATCCTCATGCGGCCGTCCAGGATAGTGCTCCTTCGTCACCCTCGGTCCACCGTTCGGTCGTAGAAGTAAGCGCAACTTTTTTGTTCCCGGGCAGTCGTCACGCGCTACGTGTTATCGCACTACTCCCTTGTTCACTGCGGGTTGAACCTGGCCGAGAGTAAGACCGGGTGTTTGATCGATAAAGCTCGTAGAGAGAGAGAGAGAGAGAGAGAGAGAGAGAGAGAGAGAGAGAGAGAGAGAGAGAGAGAGAGAGTGGTTGTGTGCCATTTGATGTTTGCTTCAGCACTATGCATCACTAGTTTCCTTTCCATTACCTTTTTTTGACATCTGACTAAGTGTCGCGACTGTACATCAAGGAACGATTCGGTCTACAGTGCTGCATCAGATGACTTGTCACATGTTTGAGCAATAGACCAAGAATTGGAATCATTTCTGTGA